AACAGGGCGGCCTTTTTTTGGGGCCGTTTGGCCCCGTTTCGGCCTCCCGTCGCCCGACCCCCGCGAAGCCGCTCGGGACGCGGGGCACGTCCCGGCCCGGCCGAGCCAAAACCCACCCTTTTTGGCTTAAAAAAAAGAAAAAAAAAGCCAGTTGCGGTGTGGCAGAGCCCCAAAGTGGGGTGAAACAGGGCCAAAACAGGCCCAAAACAGGGCTAAACGTACCCAAAGCGGGGCTAAACAAGGCGAATAGAGTGCTAAACAGGCTCAAAATGGGATGAAACAGGCCCAAAACAGGGCTAAAAAAGGTAAATATGGGGCTAAACAGGCTCAAAATGGGACAAACAGGGTCAAAAGAGGGTTGAACACACCCAAAATGGGACTAAACAAGGCGAATACAGGGCTAAACAGGCTCAAAATGAGATGAAACAGGCCCAAAACAGGGCTAAACAAGGCAAATATGGGGCTAAACGGGCTCAAAATGGGAAAAAACGGGGTCAAAACAGGGTTGAACATACCCAAAGTGCGACTAAACAAGGCAAATATGGGGCTAAACGGGCTCAAAATGGGAAAAAACGGGGTCAAAACAGGGTTGAACATACCCAAAGTGCGACTAAACAAGGCAAATATGGGGCTAAACGGGCTCAAAATGGGACAAAACAGGCCCAAAACAGGGCTAAATGTACCCAAAGCGGGGCTAAACAAGGCGAATATAGAGCTAAACAGGCTCAAAATGGGACAAAGAGGGTTGAACACACCCAAAGTGGGACTAAACAAGGCAAAGACGGGGCTAAATAGGCTCAAAATGGGATAAATCGGGCCCAAAACAGGGCTAAATGTATCCAAAGCGGGGCTAAACAGGCTCAAAATGGGATTAAACAGCATCTAAAAGGGCTACACACACCCAAAATGGGGTTAAACAAGGCAAATATGGGGCTAAATAGGCAAAAATGGGACAAACAGGGTCAAAACAGCATTGAACACACCCAAAGTGGGACTAAACAAGGCAAAGACAGGGCTAAAAGGGCTCAAAATGGGACAAAACAGCATCTAAACAGGGCTACACACACCCAAAATGGGGTTAAACAAGGCAAATATGGGGCTAAACAGGATCAAAATGGGACAAACAGGCTCAAAACAGGGCTGAACAGGCCCAATGTGGGGCTAAACCAGGCCAAAAGGAGTGAAACTTGGCCAAAAGGCGGCCAGAGGCCCGAAACGAGGCTAAAAAGGGTCAATGTGGGGCTAAACAGTCCCCAAAGCAGCGGCGAATAAGCCAAAATGGGGCTGAATGGGACCAAAAAGGCCTAAAATGGGTTGAAACTGGGTCAAAATGGGGCTAAAGGTGGCAAAAATGGGGTTAAAGAGGCGCAATCAGGGGTAAACAGGCCCCAAATGGGGTGAAACAGGGCCAACATGGAGGCAATAATGGCCATAATGAGGCTAAATAAGCCCAAAATGGGGCTTAACAGCCCCAAGACAGGGCTAAACAGACCAAAAAACCCCAAACGGGCTCAAACCACAGCTTAAAAGTCCCAAAATGGGGCTAAAGAGGGCTAAACAGGTTCTAAATGGGCCCCAAACAGGGCTAAAACCGGCCAAAACGCAGCTTTCACAGGGTGGGGAGGCAAGAAGAGCCTCAGGGTGCGTTGAGCAATTAAGAGGAGGGTAATTAGGCAACAACTCTCCCCTCACACCCGCTTCTGAAGGGCTCCCCGAGGGGGGGGTGTGTGGCTTCTCCCAGCGGGTCGGGAGCAGGAGAACCGGTCCTGCCGCCGCCGGGAGCCTGGGCGGGGGCAGCGGGGGAGAGAAGCGAAGGCACCTCAGGGCTTCTGAGGGGAAACGGGGCGTGAGGGAGAGACGGGGCCGCTCTGAGGGACCCCAGACCCACCTCAGAGGGGCCCAGCAGCCATCACCCACCACAGCCGTGAGGGAGAAAGCGCCGGTTGAGCGCTCAGACGGCCGAAGGGAGACGCCGAGGGGAAGATGGAGGATCCCCGCTGGTTTTTTTTGAGGGGTGAGGAGGCTGAGGGGGGAACTCACCCCTCACGGCCCCGACCGGACCCTCCTCCCCCTGAGGGAGCCGCGGAGAAAATGGCGGCGGAGACTGAAAGAGCCGCAGCGCTTTTCCCGCCCGTCGCGGGGCCACGCCCCCCCTCCCGGCGGCTCAGCCAATCAGCGGCCGCTCTCCCTCACAGCCCCGCGCGTTAGCCCCGCCCTCCGCCAACCCTGAGGGACCCTCGGCCGCTGAGGGAACCCGCGCCTTTTCCCTGAGGTAAAAACCTTCGCTTTATGACGTAAAGCTCCCTTTTGAGGCAAGAAGTTGGCTAACCTGAGGTAAAAACTCATTTTCTGAGGTAAAAACGGGAGGGGAAAGGTTAATTTCACCCTTTAACTTCACCCACAGACTCCTGCCGAAGAGGGGTGAAGAGCCATGAAGGGTAAGCAGCTGCCCACAGCAGCGATTCACCCTTTTTGAGTGTTTTAAACCTGAAAAATCCTCTTTTCACCCTAAACTGGAAGACCCCCCCCATATAAAACAGAGTACTGGCCCCAAAATACCCATTTCCCCCCCACTCCGGGGCAGAAAAGGCCTTTTTCTACCTCAAAAACCTGTTAGAACCGCCACTTCCCCCTTCCAGCGCTCTTTTACAAGTGTTTGTTGAGAAAAAATTAGGTAAATTTGGCTAATCTCCTCATTTTGGTGTGACCTGGTGACTCCAGGAGAGGTGCTCACCCAAAACAACCTGTTTTCACCCCATTTTCACCGTGGCTGAAGCCCTGGCTCCCTCGAAACTGCGCAATTTCCCCCACAAACCTTCCACTTACAGTTAAAAATTAACATTTTTAGACAAAAGCTGGGTTTTTCACCAGTCATCACAGTTTTTGGAGAAGAGGGTGACACCAAAATCGGGGTGTTTTAGGGTTTTCCCCCCCCATTTTGACCTCTGTTGGGGCTGGGAGCTGCCTGATCGTGTACCCTTTTTAGTCAGAAACCCACCATTTTGGGACGCCACCTCTAATATTTTTGGGGCAATTTCTCACTATTTTGGGATTCTTAAGGTAATTTCACATCAGTTTGGAATAATTCCCTTCTCCCCAATTTGGGGGCTTTTCCCACTATTTTGGGGCACTTCCCCCTCCTTTTACACACACTCCCCCCCTTGTATCTTGGGGTATTTTTACAATTCCTCCCCATTTTGGTGCTGTCTTCCCCAATTTTGCCCATTTTCCCCCAAAAAACCACACCAGGGGCTCAGGGAGGGTCATTTATTGCGGCTCCTCAGTGCTTCTTGCTGGCGGCGGCGACCTGGGGGCAGAAAACGGGGTGAAAACCACCGGAAATGGTTTAAAAAAAAAAAAAAGCCTTAAGTCACCCCAAATTGTGAAAAAAGCATTAAACTGCCCCAAAACCCACCTGCCCCGCGATACGGTCCAGGTCCCGCTGCCCCTGAGGCGTCAGCTTCCGCCCGCTGTGGGAGAACAGGGGGAAATTGGTTTTTTAAAATAAAATTGGAGAGAAAATGAGCATTTTTTAATTCAAAGGTGGGGGGGGGGGGGGGGAACTTTTTTGTTTT